TAAGTACTGATCCTTCTTTCAATTCCAAGGCAACTTCCACAGGTTTCCAACACACAAACCCCAAACTTTTACTGCTGAATGGCAGTATACTCTTGATCTAGAGTGATTCTCCCTCTTCATGCATTAATTGCTTGGCAATTAAATGGAGAACTCTAGACCAGTGGGCCAAGAGGCATAGCATTATACCTGAAATGGGCTTCTAAATCCTTGTGTAATACTCAAATAATTGTGAAAGAAATTCACAGTCTGAATACATACCCATTCACAAATAGTTGTGAAATATTTGAAGAAAGATATTCAGAAATAGCCAAATATTTCATCATCAAGAGGGATGGATGTTGGTGTCACTGTACTCGCTACCAGTCACACTGCAGCAGCCGTAACAGGAACATTTCAAGTCCCTCTGCCCAAGAACAGCTGCTTATGGAAGTGGCTGCAGCCTGCCTGTGGAAATGAAATTAGTGAAGGCCCTTCTGCAGCAGCATCCCCGTTTACAGTTTCATATTTCTGAAGACCTCTTTGTTTTACTTGTAACACTAAGGGATGCAATCCTATGCATGTTTTAATGGAAATAACTTCTATAATGCACAGCATGGATAGCTGGGGAACCCTGAGAGTTGTCAAAACATGAATGGCATTGCCCCCTAAGGGGAGTTTCGAAGCATTAGCAGAGAAAGCTCTGAAATAGCCATCATACTGTTGGCTTCCTCATTCCCAATTCTTTTTACCATGTAAGGCCCTGTGCCTTACATTTCTTTGCAGGCACTTTCTTTCAAAGTGCAGAATCTCTCATGAATGTAAAGTTATGCAAGATATCATTCTAATTTATTTAGAAATATTAAGTTTTTCTGATTTAATTTTTCCCTGTTTTTTAAAGGCAGAGATGTGTCCAAATCGCTTGTGTACTTTATGTTCTGTCTCACTTGGATGTTCAATAGCTGACCTTCATCAGATTGGCATGTAGAAGAGAATTGGCAGGTCATTCTGTTACAGATAAACAAATGCACTCTGCCCCAAGAGGAAGGGGGAAACTGTGTTTTATTAGTTATTGCTAGTACCCAAAAGGTATTATGCTATTATTCTAATTCTTTCAGGCCCAAAATAAAGAAGTACTCTAGTTATGATTGTTGCATGAATGACAGATAGTATTGTAATTAGTAATATACAAATATGTTCTCAATTATATGGTTTCCTAAACAAATCAGAAGACTAGAAACCATTTAAGTTAGTAAAGAGCACCTGCTGTTACATTGTACAGAATGCCCTGGTACAGGGAGGCATTTAACACTTAAGTCTCTTAAATCAACAGACCTGCTGCCTCTGCTTTAGACTACCAAGTATTTGGCGTATTAAATCTTAGAACTGTATTCTCTCATTTTAAAAAAAGTTACATTTGAAATTGGACTCTTAAGACTTTTCTGTATCTTAGAGAACTTCAAGTCTTGTAGATTGCTAGTCAAGAAGCCACATGAATTCCAGCACAATATAAAATTATGGCCTTCATCTTCTAGAAGAAAGGAGAACTGTATAATAGAAAAAGTAAAAGATGGGGAGGAAAAATATCATATAAAAGCATTATGATTTTAGCAACCATTTCTAAAACTATATGAAATTTCAGCCATCTAGATCAGTAAAAACTGCATTCCAACAGCTTATACAAACTGCTGGGAGCATTTACAGAACACAACTCTAAACTATTTGTTTTGTATGCGCATGTATCATTCAATAACTTTTGACTTTGACTTCTAATGTTCCCAAAGTCATTAAATATTTTCAGTTGACTTTAGGACTGGCCACCAGATGAATGATATAAAAGAATGTATTTCCTAATCTCAGATGAACAATTTATCCTCCAATGTTAATAAAATAAGAGAAACATAGAACTGTAACAATGCTACTATAATCTCACATTTATGCGCCATATTGGTCTCTTGCAACAGACAGTACTTTACCACATAGTCAGGCAATGGAAGACCTGTCCTGAATGATATAAAACTCAGAAATGGGGAGCAAACTGCCCATATGTTCCTGCATGTTCAAAAGAGTGCTTTTCCCCCTCCCACTGTTCTTCAAGTGCCTTGCACAAATGTGCATCACTCCAAACAACAGCAAAGAGAAGAATGAAAGAATAACATCATCCAAGTACATTTATGCTCAGTCTAGGAGTATACTAGTAATTACATTTGCACAGATAAGATGCCAGCACCTGACACCCTTTCCTCCTTGTGCAAGTTATGCAGAGAAAGATAACCAACCTTTGAAGAATGCTTCCTACAGAGCCACAGAAATGGCCATAGCTGCAGTCCACTTGCACCAGACAACACTGATGTTAAGCAAGCAGCACAGAGATGCCCCCGTTTCTGCACTGCCTAATCACAAACTTTTCAGATTGTACCTGCACTTGCCACTTGTTTGCAAGGCAAATAGTTCCATAAATAAGAAGACTCTGCCAGTAAAATAGTCCCTCCCTTCTGCTATCTCTTATTTAAAAACATTCTGCTTTGCCAGACTATTCTGGAAGGAATGTGTTTGCAGAGGGCATATAGTGTATACAAAAAGAGGAGCAAGCACAATTGACTTGAGTGCTGGAAAGGTTTTTAAAGCATCAAAGGTTTTTTGAAGGCAAGGTGTCCATTTGAAACCAAGGTCTAATGTCTTTAGCCGAGTGGATTGGAGGTCTTATAGGAATTCCATTGGACTCCTAGAGAAGGGATTCTGCCTCGCCATGCTCCCACAAAGCACCTTTCTGTCAGTGTAACAAGCCTCTTTCATCATTTAAGAGGACCATCTACACAAGGAAAAATGGAATGCAACTTTAATGTGTCTATTCCAAGTCCCACCAAATTTACTTGGCAGGTCCCATTTCTAGCCGATATTAAGTATGCATAGGTTTGCAGCTTTAGAGATATTTACTTCTATTTGTTTGTCTTCTGTCTGTAGGTTGTTTTTAAATTGCCAATATACTAATAGAACAATTGTGTACTTTGTCCACACTGGCTGGACTCAGGAAACACTACAAGCCATGGTGGGCGGTTTTTTTAAATCATTTTTGCTTTGTCATCTGTTTGAACCCAGTCATGGTATATCACTATGGTAATTTTGGTCTTTAGAAAACATAATAATTTCAAGTTTATTTGCTTTAATAGCCCATAGTCCATACACCATAATTTAAGAATTAAAATATAACAAAATTGCCACATCTACAATAGTTTTTACAAAAATTCCTCCCGAAGTAGTTTTAGTCTTGCAGCATCAGGAAGGGCTGAATATTTGAACAGCCATTTCTTTAAAAGGTACGCTCTCGCCTGTTCATATTTTGGGCAATAAAAGAAAATGTGAAAAGATGTATCAAGCCCTGACAAGGGGCAGTTACAATGGCATTCTTTCATATCTTAAGAAATCAGACCCTCATCTGGGCAGTTAGAAGCATATCACAATGCGCTATATACAAGAGCATCTCAACTGGGAACTGCTAATAAATTAAAAAGGTGGATCAAATATGATGGAGCATTTAATTCCCAGATGTAAAGGGGAATATTTGTGCCTAGTGTTTCCTTGAAGGGAATCCCTATCTTCCTTAAGGAATTTTTCTATAAGTAGTTTCCAACTTTCATTACACAGGCAGTACAAGAGTGCTGCTTGTTGAACAATGCAGTAGAAACAAAAATAAGCAAACTGGGCTTATGGGAAAATAGAAACCATAAGAAGGAAGAACAGTTTGTTCGATGGTGTCTCCATACGACCATGGGTTGTCATATTATCTGAATCATGGTTATCTGAACCATGACAGAAGCCTCTAGAAAGAGTGGCAAGCGTAGGAGTTGCTCCAGCCATCCTGCCTCTAAACATGCACCAATGAGGAAAAGGCAGGTGGCACTGTCTGGGAATGATGCACCTTGGGATTGAATTTCAGGCACAATGGTTGATGGGATGCTTGCCAACAGTGGGAGGACTGGGCAAGGCGGATAGAAATAACAACATAGAAACCACTAGATCATCTGTTAAGTAGATCATGGTAAAAAGCACAAAGTGTAGTGAACTACGCTGGGTTGTGAATAATAGGAGATGTCAATCTCCCAGACATTTTCTGCCTGCTGTCTTGGCTATTCTTTCTTAGAAGGTCTAGGTGGGAGGGAAGAAGAGAATCAGGGGGATGTGTGTGCATTTCAGTAAGCCCTTCACCTTTTCCTGTCTTATTCAATCCATAGCAAGATGCTCTCTCCCTGCTCTCACAAAATGGGGTTAGCCCTTACAAGTTTCTGGGATTGTCTGAACCTGATTGGAAATATCAAACCTTTCAGGCAAATTTTGAAAGACAGAGTTAGGCAAATTCTTCTGTGAAATTTTCATCTCTTTTCATTTTTTACTTATATTTCACTTACTTAGGAAAATAGATTAAATGATACATTATTTAAAAAGTATTTCCAGTTCTAGTGAAATCAGTGGGGAATGCTTCAGCTTACTGGGATCCAATGTATTCTTAGCACTTTTAACCATGAGTACTCTTTTTAAGTATCCCATAACAAGGCGGATGGAATTTCAGGCATATTCTTTTCTTCATGAAACTGAGGGGTAAAAGTGTTCATGCTACGAGTCTTAGTCTGAATCAGAGCCATGTGCAATTTCATTATTGTAGCTTGTCACTTGAGTTGACTGTGCATTTGGAATGTAGTATCAATAAACTCCTTTTTTAAAGTCAAACTGAAGATCTCTTTATTGGTTGGATCACAATAGCAGATAGACACTGTCCAAAACATCAATTAATTAATCATATTTATATCCCACTTTTTCCCATCCAAGAAACTCAAGGTAGCTTGTATAAGTATCCTCTGCCTGTTCTCAATCTTATCCTCACCACAACAACCCTGTAAATAGGCTGGGCTGAGAGTCTCTGACTGGCCCCAATCCACCCAGTATGCTCTATGGCTGAGTGGGGATTAGAATCCAGATCTCCTGAGTCCCAGTTCTACACTTTTAACCAGCGTATGACACTGACTCTCAAAAATATGGAATAATCCACAAATTTGCATGTCATCTGTGCACAGGGGCCATGCTAATCTTCTTTTTAATGTTCCAGTTTTAGTGTATGTGCTGCCAAATGTGTGCAAGAGTGAAGGGAGTAGGTTGCTATTCTAAGTGGGATGACGGGACTATTTTTTTATACTGAAGACTAAAGAAGACTAGCTTTGATTTTTTTTTTTTTTTTAATCTTCATTCTACATCTGTGCTCACATACACTCCATAGAGTTTTGAGCTAATTAAGGGCATATTACTACAAAAGATAGAAAAATATCCTAGAATTCCCAGCATGGCCCAGCCAACATGGGAGTTTGCTAGGAGTTGTGGAACTTTTAAAAAATGCACAGGATTGCAGTTTAATGATGAAAATTTATTAGCTGTGCATCTGATCATCCAGTGCTGGGCAGAAGGAGAGGAAGAGATAATCTTCACCTTCCTGTCCTCCCCTCTTGCAGATTTCCATAGACAGAAAGTGAGACCAGAAGGTAGGAAGAGGCTCAGCATAACTTGCATCCTGGAGTCTCTTGTCTCTTCCTCTCCCCACCCACCAGGACACCCTCTTTTCCTGCTTCCTTGAGGTCATGTTTCCAGCCTTGGAGAGGCAGCCAGCACAGTTCTCTTTGTGCCAGCTGCAAGGGGATAGAAGTTTTGGTTCTTTTTCTGATGTCAGAACTTTGTCTCTGACTTCTGAAAGCTTTTATTAGCAACCCTATGCTCCCAAGGGATGCTTTCCCAATACACAGGATTTGGGGGGGGGGGGGGGGGGAGGTATCTTCTTTAAAACAACAACAAAAATGATCACAACAACCAAGTATTTCTCAAGAGGAATTATGAAAAATATGTTACCTAGTAGAGAAGAGAAAGATGGTGAAAGTGAGCAAAACTAAGCATGATTGTTTTAATTGATTTACCTTCAATAAAGCAACTGGCTTTATTATAGTTTAGTAATGCAGCATATAGTTTGTATTTAGGCATCCACATTCAGGAGAACAAATGCCAGTCAGAGTATATAGTTCTGAGTTAGATGACTCAAGGTCTGTCAATAGAATACAGTTTTGTATGCTTCTTTAAATAGTATTTCCAGTTCTTTGAACTCATAAAGTGAGAATAAAAAGGGGGGTATGGTTGGATAATTTAGAATGACTGTATTAAGGATGAATTCTTTTTGAAGGTCACCATGATCAAAAATAGATCATTCCTTTTGATTTTTTTAGATAAAATACTTTTAATCAAGTACAAGCTATGTAGGGTAACATTCTCCAATTCAAAAATGATGGTTCAGAATTAAAGAATCCCAAGTTAATACTTCAGAAAATGCTCAAGTGTTCTAACAATAATTGGTTTTGCTCTTATGCTGTCAGCAGAAATCATTCCAAATGGGTTATTTCTCCTGCTGGATTCAAGCTAAAGGGAAGTAATAATTCTTTTCAAGGTAATATATAAACCCAAGGAAGTTTAAGTAGAAGCCTGCAGCCAAGTTTTCCTGCCTTTCCTTCTCACTGAACTCCCTATTCTCAAAAAGTCACTCTCAGAATGATTTGGGATGCAGAAGGCAAACTAAGGAGTATTTGTAAAGGCTGCTTTGTGCTACTGGGAATGCCTTCCACACATGTAAGAACAGGTAGGATCCAAGTGATGTTTTGCAAAATTTTGACTAGGCAGACTTTGTTTTCTAAACAATGGACCCAATCCAGCAAACCAAGACAGCAATCTCCAATAAATTCCATTAAACTCAGTGGAACTTACTTCTGAGTAGCCCTGTAACATGCAGTTAATCGCTCAAGTGATCACAAGCAAATCTACTCATGCAGAAAAATTATTTTCATAGGCTGGTCTTACCACTTCAGCCTGCAGGCTCTTCCATTGGCGGTGGGGCAAAGGGTTCTAGCCTGACACATGAGCTTTCACAGCAGAAGTGGGGTTTAAAGGGGGAAAACATGCAGTCATGAAAGTTTCCAAAGCAATACACTTTCAGGTAGGCTTCAAGACATGGTCATCTGATCCTCTATCCCAGAAGTGGGAGCTGCCAAAACTTAGGTAAGGCAGAGGAAGGTGGTGTGAAGGGGGGGGGGGGGCTTCAGCTGCCCCTTTCCTCTGCCCCTTTTCCACTGCCTTCTTCCCCCATTTGCTCCTGCGCAGTTGTTCCCGTTATTTCAACCTGTGCCTATTACCACCCCCTCAACCTTCCTCAGCACCTGGATGCAATCCAAAGCTGATATCATAGGAGGTGTTTAATTGCTGACTCACAGCAAGATTTTGGATTAAGGGAGCCATAAATTCAAATTCACCAGTAATCACTTATAACAATTGTTCAATTTCCAGTGAAATATACAGAATTCACCAGGTATGAACAATACTATTCATGCTAAATTAACTCAGTGGAAATTAACTGATCCATATAAAATTATAGCTTATGTACTGTTGTATGATCTGTACAAAGACAGTGGAGTTGAGTTAAATATATGGGTAGGCTCAGGCACCATAGTTCATGCTTAGAGGTGCTGCCCAGAAAGCTCTTTAAGGAGTTGTGCTTTCCACTTGGTCCAGGAATAAACAACTTGGTACCAGCCAAATGATTTTCACTACAATTCCCATATTCCACTGGTCTAATTCTTATGAAAATATCCTTGAAGCATGCTCTTTGTGGCATGGTTTGCATACCTTACAGGCAACACAAGGAAAACAGTCATGGATATACCATCTTTGTGTTGCTATTTTTTAAATATAAAAATAAAGTGATAAGTTATAGTAGCTGGAGTTCTAGTCCCCACTCACCCATGAAGCTCTTTAGTTTCTCTTCACTTTCTGCCATTAGAGTGGTATCATCTGCATATCTGAGGTTGTTGATATTTCTCCCAGCAATCTTAATTCCAACTGGTGATTCATCTAGCCCCGCCTTTCTCATAATGTGCTCTTCATATGTTAAATAGGCAGGGCAACAGTATACAGCCTTATTGAACTTTTTCAATTTTGAACCAATCAGTAGTTCCGTGTCCAGTTCCCACTGTTGCTTCTTGACCCGCATATAGGTTTCTCAAGAGACAAATAAGATGATCTGGGACTCCCATCTCTTTAAGAACTTGCCACAATTGGTTGTGATCCACACAATCAAAGGCTTTAGCATAGTCAATGAAGCAGAAGTAGATGTTTTTCTGGAACTCCCTAGCTTTCTCCATGATCCAGCGTATGTTGGCAATTTGATCTCTAGTTCCTCTCCCTCTTCGAAATCCTGCCTGTACTTCTGGTAGTTCTCGGTCCACATACTGCTGGAACCTAGCTTGTAGGATTTTGAGCATAACTTTTCTAGCATGTGAAATGAGTGCAATGGTGCAGTAGTTTGAACAGTCTTTTGCATTGCCCTTCTTTGGGATGAGAATGTAAACTGACCTTTTCCAATCCTGTGGTCACTGTTGAGTTTTCCAAATTTGCTGGCATATTGAGTGTAGCACTTTTACTGCATCGTCTTTTAGAATTTTGAATAGCTCAGCTGGAATACTGTCACCTCCACTAGCTTTGTTGTTGCTCAGACTTCCTAAGGCCCATTTGACTTCACATTCCAGGATGTCTGGCTCAAGG